CACAACAAATAATATATTCAATATCTGTATCATTAACATTAGTTCATATTTAAATGTATTTTTACTTTCTCATCATAGAATTTGTATGTATTAGATAATTTATTTATTATAACATTGATGTTATTCTGTTCAATTAGCTTATTTCATTCTTCAATAAATTTATATTTCATTTCTTTATTTGTAAAATGCTTAGATTTGATGAGAATGTGCTTTATAATTTCTTCATTGGATATACTTTACATTAAAGAATATTAATTATTTTTGTTTTAAAGATACAAATCGATGAAATTTTAATATTTTATAATATTTTAACAGTCTCACTTCAACAAAAAAACTATCAAAAACATCCAAATAGAAAAAATTTGAATAAAATTTTTAATAAGACGATTGAAACAATTTCATTATAAGATTTTACTTATTGGTTTTAAGGATTTAAGTTTAAATGTTTACCGTTCTTTTTCCAATGCAGGAAATATAATAAATTTTAATGAAATAGCTATTGTGTAAAACTTTTGAGTCTTGTAAAGAAAAGCAAACAAAACATAGAAATCCAATGTCATATAAAAGAATGAACATCAATAACAATAAATGGCATAATAATAAACGAAATACCAAGGAAAAAAAGGTTTAGAAAACCAAAGACACAAAGAAAAATAAATAAAAAACAGTTAAGAAAAAAAAAAAGAATGAAGAAATAAAATAAACTAAAAAATAAAATTTAGTTAGTATGAGTGAAGAAGACATAATAGAAAGTGGAAAATTATTCAATACCAACGCAGTTGAAAGACAACCACTAATAAATAGAAATGAGCAACAATTACAACAAGTTGCTATTTCTGTTCCATCTAATGTAGAAGAAGATATGATAAGAGATTATGAAGAACCAAATTTTAGTAATATAGAAGATTATTATAGTGTTATAGGAGTTAATAAAAATGCGTCAGAAAATGAAATTAATAAAGCATACCGTAAACTAGCATTAAAATATCATCCTGATAAAACAACAGATCCAAATGCAGAAGATAAAGTTTGATAAAAGTTTAATTAAATTATAACAAAAAGAAGAGCAAACTTTTAATAAATTAGTTTAATATAATTAATACAGCTTATAATGTGCTTCATGATGAAAAAAAAAGAAAGTTATATGATATATTTGGAACATCAGGAATAGCAATTGCAGAAGTTGTTAAAAAAGTGAAACCATTTATTCAATGTGGATTATTTTTATTAGACTTTATATTAATAATATTAAGTATTGTATTTTGTTTATGGGTTGTACTACTTATAGTAAAATTAGAATTAAATAAAGAGTGGAGCTTTTCTGCTGTTAATGTTCCAATTGATATTTTATATTTTTTGTCATTCCCTTATTATTCAAAAAGATTATCTAAACTTCTTGGTGGGACTGGACATATTATAAATTGGATTGGATTTATTTTATTCTTTGTTAGAGTTGATAAAGACAATGAAGACAGTAATTATTTTGTTTGGTTAATTCCTTATTTTATTGGAATTGTATTACAATGGATTGCAAGTATTATTGATGATTGTTTTTCTGCTGAAATTACAAATGAGAATGGTGAATCTGTTCAAGTTAAAAGAAGTGCAAAAGCTATTATATTAAACTTTATGTTAAATACATTAACTTCAGCCCTTTCAATTATTTTTATTATTTTCATTGGATTAGCAGGTAATGACCCACAACATGATTGTTTAACAGTTATGATAGTTGGTATTTTCTATTTTGTAATGAGTTGTATCTGTTCTTCTTTCAAAGACTTTAACTTTACTATTATTTCTTTTATTTTCAATTGTGTCTTTACTATCTTTTTGATTTGTCAATTAGTATTATTGACTTTAGATATTGGTGTTAGACATTCATATAGTTATTCTGTTGCACTTATTCCATTAATTTTAGTTGGAGCTATTTCATTATTATTCAGCATAGCATTAGGACCTTTTATGTGTTGTTTCTTAGTACCTTTGTTGAATTTATTCGAAATTGACTAGTAATTTACTCTTTTTTTGTGGAACACATCATCAAATTTTTGATTTACTATTTCTCTCTTTCTTTTGTTAAAAACATAAGTGTTGACGAGAATTTTTTGAAAACTTTTACTTGAATAAATAACAAATGTGATAATTAAGTAACTAGGTACTTCAAAAAATTAAAGAATGTAATAGAAAATGTTAAAAAGGAAACCAATAACTAGGAAAAACCATAGTTGAAAACTTAAATTAGATAAATATCGAAAGAAAAATAAACAAAAGAGTCATTTTCGAAGAAAATAAAAAAAAAGAAATTATTTAAATTCCAACAATCATTTCCTTTTTTTTAGAATTTTAATAAATAAAAATAGAAAGTTCTAAAATTAATTTGTGGGGTTGTTGGTTTGAAAATAGAAAAAGTATTTTAAGTCATATTCCGAAAGATTGGAAAAAAATAAAACCATTTTTCGAGTGAATATTTTGTATTATTATCAGACATTTTAGGAAGAATCATAAAAAAAATTACTTACAGATGACAAATTTCTCAAAATTTTTTTTTAAACAATCAAATTCAAAAACCTTCCTTTTTCTTTTCGTTTGTACTTAACAGAGAATTAAAACTCTTTCTCACAAGATATTAAAGCATTTATCTTAAAATTCATTATTCAAATATTTATTATGCAACCAACATTATTTAAACTTGTTGAATTACCTAATTATCCTCATTACCATACAGAATTCCCTCTTGTTACTCTTTCTGAAACTTGTGTTGAAGGAAGTTTTAACAAAAGGTCATCCTCTCCTAGTGACAATAAAGTAAATTACATTTCAGAATATAAACCAAAACGTTCTATATCTTCTGAACCATTTACTCGTCAAAGGTTAACAAAAAAGAATTTATGTTCTCATGGATTTGGATTTCTTTCAAATGAAGATAAAGAAGAGAGAGTTTATTATTGGATAGAAACAATTAAAGACTCAAGTCTTTATCCAGCTCCTTATTTTTTATAATTTGTTGTGTATACCATTTAAATTTTCATGTAACTTTAATTCTTCACTCTGTTATTTTTTAATTTGATTTTTTATGTTTTTTTTTTGTGTTATTCTTCATTAAAGTAATTTCTTAACAAAAGATTATATTTTTTGAATATTCTTAGCGTTAGTTCCTTTCCTTCTTTTTGATTAAGAAATATTGAATCTTTTTTTTAATTCTATCTCTTCTTTTTTCCAAATTTATTTTCGCTTCTTTTATTTTTGAAAAATAGGAAATAAATAAATTCTTATTGAGTCTTATGCTTGACTCTTCTTCTATTTCTTTTCAGGATTTTTGTGTTCTAATTTGGTCAAAGAGAAAGTCATTTATTCTTTTTTACATTCATACTGATTTAGCAATAGTATTATTTTGGATATATTATTTAGAACATTTCAATTCTTCTCAAATATTACATTAAAATAGAATTAAATTTGGTTTATTAAAGAAATTATTGGTAGTCTTAAAGAGAAAATGAACAATACCTAACAAAAAAAGTTAATTAAATGTAAATGTCTTTGTGAATGTATAGAAGTTTATCTATTATTTAAGTTAAAGTGACTAATAAAAAAATATGTCTTTAATTAATATTAAATTACTTAAATGATGATAATTTATTAAAGATTAATTGAACCAAAATTGGAATAGATTTAATCAAAATCATTTAAAGTAATAATGATATTTTTAGCTTTTTTTCATCAAATTTATGAATATGTTGTCTTGAATACTATTCATTTTTTTTATTATAAAATACTTGAATATTCTCACATTTAATAATAAAAATGGTTAAATAAATTATTTTCATTTTATTCACTTAAAATTGTGTTTGGTTTGTTTTCTAAGTAATTCATTAATTATTTTTAGTGATAACTTTAGAGAAATATAATTTGTATGAGAAGAATAGGATTTACCCAAAAACCTCAATACTTTTTTTTAATTGTAAATTGTAATAACATAAAAATATTTCCATTCATCTTTTGTTATGTTCTATACCTTTAGAACATGTTTTTCTCTAACCTAATATACCATCATTTATTAAAAAACTAACAAGTCAGTTTTAAATACGTAGATTGTAAATAACTCACAAAATAAAGACAACAATTTTTATATTTAATTATCAGTATTTTTCTTAATCTATAAAAAAGTACATAAATTCATCAGGAAATATAGACAAAACAAAAATAATTCAAAAACATATAAAATTATATTGAATGAAATTTCAATGTAAATTTAAATTGTAAATTCTTATTAAATCTATTTTTGGTATAGATATTGACTTTAGTATTTGTTGTGTTATTATTCAATTCTTCTACTTAATGTAAAAAAAGATAAATAGTATATACTTTTATATTTCATTTAATACTCAATGAGTTTTTCATGAATTTATTAAGTCATGTGATAGATTAAAAGTAATTTTATTAACAATTAAAAAGTAGTTTCTTAAAAATAATAATAACTAATTTCTATTAATTGAGAACTATACAAAAAAATATAGTCAATGGTTTTACTTTCACAAATAACATCACACTCCATTGGTTTAACATTATTATGATAAAATTGATTCGATAAAATATCAATTTTTTATTTTTTTTTAAAATGTGTGATATTTAATTAATTTGTAATATTAATAATAATATTATTTATAATACTTATGAAACTATGTTATAACTCTATAAACAACTTCTTAAATTTATATTAATTATATTCATTTCATAAAAATTAAATAAAAAATATGAATATGATCAATTAAGAATATTATATTCAACTGGAATTACCTCTTTTAATGAAATGAATGTATTGTGTTTAATTTATTAATTATTTGAAAAAGAAAAGAATAGCTTTTATAGTCTGATTATTCTTTAGTAGTATAAATCAAATGAAGTTATTTATTTTCCACATTAAGAAATATTATTCAAAAAGTAATTGTAATGTTCTAAAAATGATTAATAAATATGTTTGAATTTATTTAAACAAACAACTAACTTAATAACAATTCAATTTTATCATTATTTTTATTGTTTCAATAAATCTTTTGAGTAATATCATATGATGTATTTTAAGAATAATTTAACATTACTTAATAAAAATAAGAATAAAACATTGAATAACAAATTTATGTCAGAATTGAAACATTTAGTTTTAATACTATTTTATTTAAAATTAATTATATTATATTTATTAGTCATTAATTAACATTAAAAATACAAACAGAAGGAGAAAGTTTATTATAAATATGAAGTTATAAACCAATTTTTTTTAATGTTTTTGATGAGAGTTATTAAAAAAAAAAAGGATATTATTATGAATGTTTTCAAAATAAAAAGGCAAAATTGAATAAAAACAAGAAACTGAAAAAAAAAAAGAAGAAGAAATAAAATATTAAAAAAAAATATTAAAAGAAGAAAAAAATAAATTTTAAAAAAGAATATTTGAAGGAGTAAATGCCCAGTCACAAATGTCACGATAAGTTTTTCTTTCATCCATAGTTGACCATTGATTAGGAGAATTAATTAAAATAATATGTTCATCTTTTTTAAATTGAATAAAAATTGAATCAAGAGAAGTATTTAATTTATTTATTTGAGAATTAAGAGAAGAGATAGGAAGAGGAGAAGTTTGCATAAAATTCTTTTTCAAGTTTTTCTTTTATTTTTGGATTATTCAATTGAAAAGAAAAAACTAGAAATATTCAAAACTAAAAAAATAATGGAAGAAGAGTCTGTTAATTTATCATCTGAAACAGAGTTTTCATCATTTCAAAGTAATACAATAGAACAACCAATAACAACAAATGAAAGTAAACATGAAGAAATTATTACAAAACCAATAAATGAATTTACAGAATCAGATAAAATACTTATTGAAGAAGTAAAAGAAATAGAAGAAAAAGGAGGAATTATTACACCACAATTAGTAAGATCGATATTAGAAGATTTAAATTATAATCAACCAAATATTGTTAAATATATTTCAAGTGTTGGACTTAAACAAATATCAGCATATCCATATTTAAATATACTTTCAGATGAAGAATCAATAAAAGAAATTAATTTTATTAAAAAACAAGTACATGGAATTGAACTTCAATATATTTTTTTAACAGAAGAAATTGGAGTTCAATTATATCATAGAAAACAATTTAATTGTTTTTGTTTAAATAAAAAACCACAGTTATTTGGAAGAACATCACATTTATCAAATATTTATTGTTGTTGTTCAGGTGATGGTTTTATGTTAACACCAATATTTGCAATTAATGGAAATAATTATTCAAAAATAAATGAAGAATTATATAAATCATCTGCATTTTTTGTTAAAACAGAAAAAGGAATATTTAATGGAAATGATTTAATAGAATGGATAAAAAAAATATTTATTCCTCATATTCATCAACTTAGAAAACAAAACAATTATGAAGGATTTTGTGCTTTTGTTATTAATATATTTTATTATAATGGTATTAAACCTGTTTTAAATGATCTTAAAGAAAATAAAATTAAAGTTATTGTTTCTCCTATGGAAGGTTTTAATCTTCGTCATCCTTTAAATTTATTAGCAAATGAATGGATTTCTCATTTTCCTGTTAATATATTTAACTCTTCACTTAATTTTTTACGTATGAATGTTCAATCATTTTTTGATAGATGTAATGAATCTAAAAATGATATTAAACATTGGAGTATTGCATTTTTTAATAAATCAGAATATCCTGAAATTAAAAAAATGTTTAAAAAACCAAATGAAAGAAAAAAACATTTAAGTAAAGTAACACAACAACAAACACCACAGAAAGAACTTATTAATAAACAAAAAATTGAAAAAAAATCAAGACTAAGTGAAACATCAAAAAAGAATAGAAAATCACATTATTCTATTCAAATTAAAAATGATGTTGAAGAATTTATGTTAAATAAATCAAAAGGAAATCATATTGGAGGAAATATTGTTAATTCACTTGCAAAACAAAATGGTGTTGAAAAATCAAGTATTATTAAAGATCTTAAAGAACATGGAATTACTCTTCAAAGAGTTAAATTAATTAAATTAAAATATGATAAATCTTGGAAAGAAGAATGTGAAAAAACAATTCAATTATTTGATTATTCAATTTTTAATATATTACAAATTCAACCATTTTTAGAACTTATTTATTGTATTGATCAAATAGGAATTGAATATAATTCATTATCTCTTAATGAAACAGAAATATTTACTTATTCACAAACATCTGATCCTGTTCAAAGAACACGTGATAGTTTTGATGATTGTATTATTGGTTGTATTAATGCAAGAGGAGAAATAATTCAAACTATTACTTGTTGTGATAAATTTACTTCAGAACAATTATCATTGATTTATCCTAATAACTGTTTTGAAATTGGTGATGATTTTCAATTTACTAAACAATTTCTTTGGAAATGGTTTAATGAACAATTTATTAAAAAAGTAAATCAAACTCGTGAAAAACTTCAATTAAAACAACATAAAGAAGCTTTTGTTTTTCTTCATCCATTTAATTCTCATTTTATTGATCAAAATATTTTTGAGAAGAATAATATTAAACCAATTTATATTTCATCTCCATTATTTGATTTAATTTCTCCAATGAAATTAATTAATTCTAAAGTATTACAAGAAATTATTATTAAAAATATTTCTACTAAAAGTATGTTTTGTTTTAATGCTTTATATACTATTTGGGGAATGTCTGAAGAAACTATTCAATCTTCTTTTCAACAATTTTTAAATTCAAAACCTCAACAAATTGTTTCTTTAATTCAAAATAAAATTGACCCTTTTATTTTACCTCCAATTAATGATCGTATTACTCATTTTTCTTTTGCTCATATGAGTAGGGCTAATGCTGATATTCTTCGTTCTATTATGGATACTCCTGAATTTAAGAATATAACAACAAAACCAATTCAATATTTATTTTTTACTTCAAAAATTCCTTCTCTTATTGAATTAGTTATTCCTTGGTTTACTTCTTCTAAATAAATAAATTAGTTCTTTCAATTTATTTTAAATGTAATGTTTCTTTTTTTTTTTAATTCTTTTCTTGTTTAGAAATAAAAAATTAATTTAATAATAGAAATAAAAGATATTGAAGAAACTGAAATAATTATTTCTTCAATATATGAAAAATTGTCGATAAAATATCTAATCTAACTTATTAATTGACCTTTTTGGGGGGTTTAAAATAAAAAAAAACTAATAAAATAAAAACTAATAAAATAATACTTTAGTATGTTGTTTATTTTATTATTTACTCTTTCATTTGCTTTTACATTTAATGATTGGATTAAAAAATATCAATATAATAAAATGAATATTGAATTTGAATTAAGAAAATCTATTTTTGAAGAAACAACAAAAAAGATAGAACGTCTTCAAAATAAAGGATATTTAAGTATTTCAACTGATTCTCCTTTTGCAATTTTTACTGAAGAAGAAATTGAACAAATGATTAATTCAGAAACATTTTCATTACCACAATTACGTCCAAAAAGATTAAAAACAAATAAAAAAACAATTGAATTAATAGATGAATTTGATTGGAGAAATTCAGGAATTATAACTCCAATTAAATCAATTGGAACACGATATTTTGAAGCAACAATTGATGGTATTGAAGCAGCAATACTTTTAAAGAAAAAAGGAATTTATACAAATGAAACATTAAAACTGTCAGTGCAACAATTAATTGATTGTCAAGATGACTTTTTTGGTAAAAAATTAAGTAGAACAAATCCATGTTTTATTTATTTACAAAGGTTTGGATTTATGAAAGAAGAAGATTATCCAGAAACTTCAGAAAAAGGAATTTGCCAATATAATTCAACTCGAATTTTTGGTAAAGTAAATAAAAGAAGATATTTAAGTGTTTTTAATGATGATGAACTAATAGAAGTGATTAAAAATACACCAATAATTGTTAATATTGATATGCCATCAACAATGCCATATTATGATGGAGAAGGAATATTTGAAAATATAGAAGAATGTAGTCAGTCATCACCAAGAATTGGGTTATTATTAATTGGATATGGTAAAACAATAAATGGAATACCATATTGGATATTAAAAAATTGTTGGGGATCTTCATGGGGATCAAATGGATATTTATATTTAAAAAGAAATAAAAATGTATGTGGAATTTATTCATATGGAACATATATAGAAAGTATAACACTTTATTAAATTAGTTTTTTTTTTAAATTCTTTGCTATTTTTTTGTTGTTTTATTAATGTTATTTGCAGCAAAATTGTATTCTTTTCTTATTAATCCATCTTGTTCTGCTAATGTCATTGCTTTTTTAAGATAATTTAAAGCTAATGAATATTGTTCTTTTTTATTTAAAACAACACCAATTCTATATAATGCTTTAACATTAGTTGGATCAAATTTAAGTACTTCTTCTGATTGTTGTTTTGTTTCATTCCAATTTTCTAATTTCAACCAACATAATGCCATATTAGAATGAATTAATGAAAGTTGTTTTTTAATTTCTTCAATATATTTTTGATAATTTATATTATCTATTAAATTATGTAATTCAGCTGCACATTCTTGATATAGTTCTATCGCCTCTTTATATTCTTTTTTATTAATCTTTTCTTTTCCTTTTTCTTTTGTTTGTATTATTTCTTTTATACTTTCTTCAAATTCTTTTGGTTTTTTAATTTCTTTTCCTTCTAGTATTTTAACTATTAACTTTACTTCTTCTTCACTTTTAATTCTTTCTCCAAATCCTTCTTCTCCAAATATTTCTTTCCCTTTTGTTATTATTTGATATTTTTCTCCAATTCTTTTATTAATTACAAATTTTTCAATAAATGGTAATATACTTCCTTCTCCAATAACAAATTGAACTTCATTTTCTTCTTTTGTTAAACTACTTTGAATACTATAATGTACTATTTTTCATTTTTAATACTTCTTTTTTCTTTCTTTAATACCTTAAACAAACTTTTGATTTCCATTTGTTCACTAATTATTTGTCCTTTACTTTCTTCAATACATTGTATTTCTATCATTTATTCTTTGTTTAAATCTTTTTTTAATTTTTAGTTTTGTGTTTCTTATTAATTAGTTCTATTTATTCATTATTTTTTTCTTTTCAAATAATTTCATTTTAAATTTTCACATAATAAATATAAATTTCTTTGTCAAACTTAATTAATGAATAACACACTTGATTATTATAAATTTTTGTTTTTGATATTTGTTTTATTCTTTTTTTCTCTTTTTAATTCTTATCGATTTTTTAATTCTAATAATTTGTTTTTATGATTATTATGATTATTATCTCTACGTCTATTTTTCATTTACGTTCATTTTTTGAATTTATTAAATTAATTAATACTAATAATAGTATTTTTTAATAGAAAGAAACTAAAAAACTAACCAACTAAAAAGAAAAAAAAGGAGTGAATTTGAATTAATAAAAATATAATAAAGAGCCATATCAAATAGTATTAATATAATTTTTCACTTTTTTTTTATTTTTGTTGTTTTGAATTTTAAAAATACATCAACTTTTGAAAATTTTTTATTATTGCGAGAAATGAAAAGCCGAAAGAAAGAGTTATTATTACAGAGAGAATAATTTATTTGGTAGAGAAATGACGTAAATATTAAATGAACGTCGTTTTTTTTTTATTATTTCATGAAATTAGATAATTTCATCTTATTTAATTATTTTATGGTAATAAATAACAGACTAATCTTATTCCTTCTTTTGATTTGTTTTGTGTATGGAGGAATTACTGAAGAAGTTTACAACCAAATACCCGTTTGTGGAGATAATGAGTGGAACCAATATTATGAACAATGTGATGGGTCTATTGGATGTACATCACAATGTCTTTGTGATACTGGATATATTGCAGATGGAAATGGAAATTGTCAAATGCAATGTATGTATGGAGATGCATGTTCTTCAGGATGTATTCTTCCAGATATATGTGAACGATGTAATATTTCTAAAGGATATACAAGTGATTGTCAAGGGTGTCAATCAGGATATATGTGGTTTGGAGAAGGAAGATGTAAACCAATAAAAGAAGATGAAGTACAAACATGTGGAATGTTTAATAATATAATAGGGAAATATTTTAAAGAAAAAGGAGAAGAAAATGTTTTTAATATTCAAATAGGAGAAGAAGCAATAAAAAATGGTGGTTTAATTTCTATTCCTGATGTCTCTAATCTTGTTGGACTTCAATTAAATAGATGTTCACAATACGTTGATCCCATTAAACCATATACATATGGTGTTTGGTTTAAACTTACATCAACTATAAATACTTTTGTTTCTATTGAAGTAGATAAAAGATATTCTCATCAGGAACTTGAACTTGCAAGAATTCAAAAACAAGAAATAGGAACTAAACTTGCAATGGTTATAGAACAAGATTGTCAAGAAAATTTGGGATATTCTTCTTCATTAATTTGTCTTTATAAAAATGGTGGACATTCTAAATATGTAAATTCTCCTAGAATTGTTACTTTATTAGAAACTGGTTCAACTCAATATCTCTTTATTCATTCAAAATTTGCTTCATTTCAAATTCCAGAGTTTAAATTATATGTTAATAAAATTACTCATGCATGTTCTTCAAGTTATTATAATATTGACTGGAATGTATTGTCTAGTTCTAATTATTCAAGTACATTTAATTTAGAATATACTATTAATTCACGTTCTATATGTTCTAAAGATATCGTGAAAGGACTTTGGTTTAAGTTAATTGGAGCAGATCAAAATATACAAATTTCTACATGTAATTCACCATCAGAATATGATATAAGTCTTGATCTTTTAGCTGTTAAATTAAGTGATTATGGATTAAATGAAAATTCAGAAGATATTTCAATGATTAATTGTGATGATGATACAAAAACTAAATGCATTCGTTCAAGGACAGATGGGTGTGGAGAAAATTCAAAATTATCAAGGATGGTAGTTTCATTACAAACAGGATATTTGTATTTTTTGTTTGTTGGAGTAAATGAAGAATATTCAGCTCAAGTCAAAGTTGATATAAATACTGTTTGTACTAATAATTGTGGTAATAATGGATTATGTTCTTCTCATACTGGTAAATGTGAATGTAATGATGGATATGTTCTTAAAGATGAAACATGTTCATTATGTGGGAATGGAAAATTAGATGAAGGAGAAGAATGTGATTTATCTGTTGAAGGATATGATGATAGTAAATGTTCAATTAATTGTAATTGTATGTATGGATTTGAACCAAAAAATATTAATGGAGTTCTTAAGTGTGCAGTTTCAACATGTGATAATGGAAAAGTTGATGATTTTGAAGAATGTGATGGAGGATATGGATGTGATCATTGTGTTTGTGTCAATGGAACAAAGAAATATGCAAAAGCAAGAAATGATTGTATGTTATCTACATGTGGAAATAGAAAATGGGATGAAGGAGAAGAATGTGATGGAGGAGATGGATGTATTGAATGTGAATGTCAGCCAGGATGGTATTCACAAAATAAAGCAGATTGTAGTTCTATGTCCAAAGGATTAACAAATTTTTTATTTTGGGGAATAGGAAGTATAATATATATACTATTTTATATTTTATTATTATTATTAATATTATTTATTTATTATCATCTTATTAAACAAATTAAACAAGAAATTAATGATGAAAAACTTATCATCTTTGAAAATACAATCATTCCATTTGATAAAACAAACTCTCAATACATTGATTTAAAACAACAAAATCCTTATTTTTCTTTCTCTTCTAATGTTATTGAATTCCCTGATTTAAGACCTGAAATTAATGAGCCTATTGACACAACAATTATTTTAACTAATAATTGGAAATATCCAATGCATTTTACATTCCATTCTGGTGATTATACAAAATATGAAATTATGTGTAAACCATTTACTGGTACTATTAGACCAGGTGATTTTGCTGAATTGACTATTACTTTTATGGCTAAATGTACTACATTATTAAATGAAAAAGTACCAATTACAATACGTTATGGTCAACTAGGAAATATTTTAAAAGATATTAAAAAAGAAAATCCTGATTTAATTGCTCAAAGTTCTCAATCAAGTCAAAATAGTGAAATGGATAATCGTTCTCATTCATCAAGCACAAATGGTGCTTCAAATTCTCAGCCTCAAAAAAGTACTAATTCTTCTTCTAAAGCTACAAATAGTAAATTAAATGAAAAGGATAAGTCTAATCCAAAAAATAAAAATGGAAAATCTAAAGTATCTAAATTCCATGTT